TACAAGACAGATTAGAGCCATCACTCCTGATGGAATCCGACTACATCTTTCTCTTGTGGAGCAGTTGGTAGGTTCAAACCTCTGACCTATCGATGAACATCTGAACGCTTCACCACTGCACTCCCAGGGCTCTGGATGTGAGTCCTTCAAAGAGGACTGTGTCAGTGACAGAGACGATGAGTTCAGACTGCTGCGACTGTGCAGAGGGCGCTGGACAGCTAGTGTCTGGTTTTGTCGTGCAGAGGGGTCACTGTGAATCACAAAGGACCACTGCAGGGGAGTTTAATCACCTCTGAGAGAGCTGGAAGGATTTAGCCAGGCTAGATCCCATTCCCACAACCTTTTCTCTGAAGCTGGTTTTGAGCCCATTGTTTTAATACAAGAACAGGTGTGAAGTGTGAAGACAATGACTGGAACCCCACAGGGGCTTTATTAAGGCTTATTGTGATGACTCACCATCAGAAAACTCCCTTCCCCTGGCCCCTGAGCTCAAGAAGGGCTCCTCAGTAAAGAGGATCCTAGGAAAATCCTTTGGAACCTCGGGTCTTGGAGAGGGCAGGTAGGGAATTAGTCATATGTAGCGCCTGTGGACTATGTAGAATATCTGTAGTCATATGTAGAAGCGGCCACTGTGCGCCAGTGACTGGCCCAGGATGCTTCTTCAGTAATAGTAACTAATATGTGCTGGAAAGGCCTCCTAGGAGCCAGGCATGGGCTTCCCTGTGGAGTAGATAGTATCACCACAAACATTTTATAGATATCTGAGGCTTGAGTTTCTGGCTGGGGTCATGTCTGGGCAACTAACTAAACATCTCCGCCTCCTACAGGGGACCTGGAGGTTCTGACCATAGAGTCACATCCTAGAGTGGCAACTAGACACTCTGACCTATTCCCTGACACCTCCTCTATGGTCTCTGTACACACTTCTAGATTATTTATTATTATTATTATTAATTTTAATGAAAGTTTACAGAGACTTTGGATTTCCAGTCATTCATTGTTGCACCTTTCTCCCTGCCCACCCCTCCCCCACCAGTTCACTCATCTCTTTGAAAAGTAAAAAAAAATTCTTTCATTTTATACAATCTCTCCCCCCAAGTCCACTCCACTAGGCAGTGCTCGTTCTGGACTCCTGTCATGACAATAATACTTAATCATATATACTTTTTAAACAGTTTTCCCCCTCATCTGTTCCAATGCAAGTATACATTATTGAACCCATCTTTCTCAGTCTCCCGCCAACCCTGATGTCAGTCCTGTTTGACAACAGTGGTACTATGCAATATTTGTCCTTTTGTGACTGAGATACTCCACTCAGCATAATGTCCTCCAGGATCACCCATTTTGAATAACATTTTATGAGTTTCTTGTTTTTCAACGCAGTGTAGTATTCCATTGTGTGAATATACCACAGCTTCTCTAGCCATTCATTTGTTGATGGGCATTTCAGTTGTTTCCAAATTTTTGCTGTTGTGATAAACATGGATGTGCTCTTTTTTTTGTTTTTTTGTCTTCTGATTTCTTGACTGCTACTATCATGGGTGCTCTATAAAGGAAAAGAATGAAGAAATGTGTCTTTCTAAAGATGTATAACAAGAATGCTCCTTAGAAACAAGGATGGCAAGCCTTTGTCTCATATACTTTGTCCGGGATCAGTCCCTGGAGAAGGATGTTAGCTTGGTGGAGTGGAGGGTCATGGAAACAGAAGACAACTTTCAAGGAGGTGGACTGGCAAAGTGTGGCAACGTGGGCTGGTGCACAGCAGGGAGTGTGAGGCTGGCACAGGACTGGGCAGGTTTTGACCTGTTGTGTGTGGGGTTGCTGGGACTCAGAACCAGCTTGAGGCACCTAGCAACAGCACTAATGTAAATTTTTAAAAAGGTTTTCTTTTTCCCTCTTTCTCCCTTCTGACGTCTGAGGTTTCCAAGACTCTTGGTTCCTGTGGACATGGCTTGGGCTCCAGGGCTCACCTGGGGGACTCAAGAGATGGGTTCTGGCCACAGGGCGATTCAGGGGCAGGGACGGCTCTGTCTGTCTCTTGCAGGAGGTCACTCTTAGTCACGGGGAGGACATAGTGGTAGCTGGCTTGAAAGAAGAGGAAGAGGACACTGTGTAATTGTCCTGGACCCATCGGAAATTCTAATGATGAAAGCCCGCACCCGGCCCCACTTCCCCTTCCTCCTCACTCGGGGCCTGGCTGTCCTGCAGAGCAGTTCTCCCTGTGAGCCCGAGGCGACATGGACCAAGACACCCTGGGCAATGTCGTGCTGCTGGCCATTGTCACCCTTATCAGCGTGGTTCAGAACGGTGAGGGTGCTGCTGCCAGGGGCGCTGCAGGGGGTCTGACTGTGTGTGTGTGTGTGTGTGTGTGTGTGTGTCTGAGAGAGAGAGGGTTTGCCTGTGAGAAGGTGAGTGTGTGAGAGAACGTGAGTGCGTGTGTGAGAATGTGTAGGCTTGGCATGATGTGTCTATGTGAGAGGGAGTTAAGTCTGCGAGAACAGACAAGTGTGTATTTGTGTGAATGCAAACAAGCGTGCACGTTTTTAATGAGGGTGTTTGAATCTGTGACAGTATGTAAGTGTATGTGTGAGTTTATGTGTGAGAGTGTGTAAATGTGTGTGCGTGTTGATGTGTGCACACACCACATTGCCTTTACCTCCATTTCTCAGTGCTGGATGCACAGGAACCTGTGTGTATGTATGTATGTCTCTGTGTGTGTGTGTTTTTGTGTACGTGTAGATCTGTGTTTTCTCCTGGTCCTTTCTTCACAGTGTTCCACTGCTGTCAATACTGTCCTCTCTCATGGCCATGGCCAGGGAGGGGGGTGAGGGGCACAGGAAGGACAGCAGGTAGAGGCCTGCTTGAACTTGGCCGGACTCCTACATCCCAGCACCTGAGCTCACTCGTCACCAGACGCTGAGACGGAATGTGAACTTGGGGGGCAGGAGGAGGGGGTGCCTTACCAATATTTTCACCACTTCTTGTGTTTTCTTTTTCTCTTTTGAAGAAACATGTTTTTGAAATGTCTTCCTTTTCCCCCTCCTTTAAAAAAAACTGCAACAAGTCTACTTCATTGTGGTTTGGGTGAAAGTTTAGAGAGTATATCAGTTTCCCCTCCTTTTCTGTTGTTGAATACCATCCAGTAGGAGCTAACCCTCCACCTTTCGGAGCTAGTAAATCACAAGGGATGAGACTGCACATCCTTCATCAGAGCAGGTGGTGGGTTTGAACCACTTATCTTCATGCTGGCGGTGCAATTCCTTACCACTAAGCCACCAGAGCTCCTTTCCTGCACCAGTGGATACTTTCTCAAGTATCTTCATGTGCATTCATTCTATCTTTACATAATAACGAGACAGACAGACAGAGAGAAGTAGAGATACAGAGATGGAGAGGTATAGATAGAGACAGAGATATGGAGACACAGAAAGACACAGAGACGAAGACAGCAGCCTCCTAGGACAGAGAACTGCTTCTTAGAGTTTCCTCAGCTTTTACTTCTGCTGGAACAGACAGATCACCAGGTCTCTTCCCTTAGGGAGCTGTTGGGTGGGTCTGAACTGTCGACCCTGTGGTTAGCAGCCAAGTGCTTTAACAGCAGGACAACCAGGACATCTTCATTTCTACATAAACAAATCAAATCCAAATTCATGGCTGCTGGGTCAATTCTGATTGACAGTGACCCTCCAAATGAAAAACAAACCAACAAACAACCCCTCCAAAAACCAAAACTCAAACTCATTGCCATTGAGTCAGAAGTAACTCTCAGCTGACGCCCCATCGCGTTTTCAGAGGCTGTAAATTGCACAGGAGGATACTCTCCCCCTGTCTCCCATGGAGCAACTGGGGGATTCAAACTATCTATGGAGCATGTCACCAGAGCTCCCTGACAGTGACCCTGAAGACAGAGTAAAGCTGCCCTTAGCGTCTCTGAGAAGCCCTGGTGGTGCCAGGGGCTAAGTACTGGCTGCTGACTGAGAGGCAGTTGGCTTGAACCCACCAATCAGTACAAGGAAGAAATATGTGGTGATCTGCACTCACTAAGATTTCCAGCCTTGGATCCAATGGTGTCATCATGAATCAGAATCAACTTAACAGCAGCGGGTTTTCAGTTTTTTAAGCAGACGGTCCCATCTCTCTCCCACAGAGCAGTTGGGGGTTTTGAACTGCCGACTTTTCGGTTAGCATTAACTATGACACCACTAGGACTCTGAGCTGGGTGCCTGGGGTGCCTCAATGTAGAGTTTACTCTTATCAAGATTTCTAGTTTTGGAAACCCTACAGAGCAGTTCTACACCATCCTAGAGACTGACAGGAATTGGGATAGACTTGACAACTAACTATAGGTTCGAGGGATTTAAATTCAAACGAGTATGAAGCTAACAGCTCTACTTGTTTATTTAAAAAAGTGAACTGTGGCTTAGGTGAAAGTTTGCTGAGCAGATGACTTCATTTTTTGCCCATTCCACAATTCTTATTTTGCTTCATGCTCAACACCACAATGTAACAGCACTCATCCCACTTCCTCCATGGATTCCCTGTCTCTACTGGTCCTTCTTACCTGCCACTTTTTTCCTCCTGGCTCTGGTTTTGGTCTTGGTCACACTAAGGAGTGAATATCTCCCTGTTGTTACTGATCACCTTCTGTGCATATTGTTTGGCTTAAAGTTAATACGCCATGGAGGTGAGTTCAATTCCAGGCTTGCACTCAGGGAAGACCAGGGTCTGACCTCCATGAGACCAGTGAGCCCAGACTTCTGCTCCACTTTCTCCCTCCCTCTCTATCTGGGACCTTCTAACTTGGGTTTGGGGAAAGGCAATCTACTTATTTCTAACGTGCACCTTTAAACAAATACACCAAAGTCCAAATGTCTATGCAAAGCCTCTCTCTGCAATTCTAATTAACCTGTGGGTTTGTCATCCCTGACCTCCTTCAAAGAGCACAGAACATATGCAAACACCAGGCTCACCTTTGTCCTCCCAAATGCTGTCCCGAATTCTCCCTGCTCTGTTTGAAAATTTCCATGTTGACACTAGAATTTGTGTCTGGAGACAATGGGATCCTATTGTATCTCTGTCCCCACAGTGCTGGGCACTATGCTTTAGGTTGTGTGGTGAGCTTGATTTCCAGAGAAGGGGACAGGGCTTGGCTGCCCAGGCCACTTCCTCCTTGGCCGGCTCTAGGGTTCTGTAGTCATCAAGATCTTTGAACTTGCAGCAATCTTCCGGCTTCGGTCAGTACAAAGCAGGTTTGGGAAAAACAGAACAAGCTGCAAATACATCCTCCCAAGCAGAAATGATCAAAGTTTGATCTCGGGGCATATAGAGACTTTAGGTTATTAGGAATCCTGGTGGGAACGTGGTTGAATGCTTGGCTGCTAACTTGAAGTCTGTGGTTCAAACCCACCAGCAGCAACAAGGAGAGCTCCAAGCAGATGTGGCAGTCTGCTTCCGTGTGGAACGGACTGTCACATTATCTGACATTTCACACTTAGGACAAAAGTAAAACACCTACTATCTATTTCTTTAGGAACCATACTATCTATTTCTTCATGCGTCATGCACATCTAGTCGTAATGAAGGTGAGGTAAGAAGCCACAAGCACACTGGCTGTGCTGGCTAAGGCAATGTGTCACGCTGGCCAGGCCGTGCTTTTCAGTTGTTTGATGGTTAACATAATGACGTGATCGAGTGGCTGTGTAGTGATGCAATTTGGCAGTTGCACAATGATGTCGTTATCCACTATTACTGTAATCTGATGTAGTCATCCCTTGTTTTTACATTATGTGATTTTCACATAATGAGTTGGCCTTTAGACCTAACTGTATTGGTCCTTCGGGAGTAGGTATATGTATACATTATCATATATCTCTATCTCTATCACAGTGCATATAGCCTTAGTCTGGAGAAGTATGCTGCCTCACATTCTTTCCTGCCAAGACTCACCATTCAGAAAGTTCATACAATGAGCTATAGTGAGGTTGCTGTTAGGCGTCACTGAATTATTGGCTGAGTAGAACCACCCCCTAGGATTTACTTGGCTAAGTAATCTTGGTGGGAGCAGGTCACCAGGTCTTTTTTCTCATGGGGTGAAAGGGTGGTTTTGAACTTCCAACCTTTTGGTTAGAAGCTGAGTAGGACCACCAACGCTCTTCTAAATTGTGGTAACTGTGGAAGATCTATTAACAATCTGTGTTATGCAGATGACACAGCCCTGCTTGCTGAAACTGAGGAGGACCTCATGCACTTGCTGCGGAGGGTCAAGGACTGCAGCCTTCAGTATGGACTGAGGCTCAATGTCAAGAAGACAAAGATTCTCACCACTGGACCAATTGGTAGCATCAGGATGGATGGCGAAGAGATTGAGATTGTTCACAACTTCAGTTTGCTCGGCTCCACAGTCAACACTCTTGGCACCAGAAGTCAGGAAACCAAAAAATGTATTGCGATGGGAAGGTCTGCTGTTAAGGACCTCTCTAAAGTACTCAAGAGCAACGGTGTCTCTCTGGAGACTAAGGTGCGCCTGATACAGGCCATGGTCTTTGCAGTCACTTGTTATGCATCAGAGAGTTGGACAATGACTAGGGAGGGCAGAAGGAGAACTGATGCCTTTGAGCTGTGGTGCTGGAGAAGAGTATTGAATGTTCCCTGGACTGCCAAGAAAACAAACAGATTCATCCTGGAGAGGGTTAAACCGGGCTGTTCCTTGGAGGCAAGGATTCTGGGGCTTCGTCTGGCATATTTTGGGCATGTTGTAAGGAGGGACAGGTCCTTGGAGAGGGACATCATGCTTGGGAGGGTGGCGGGACGGTGCAAGAGGGGAAGACCCTCTATGAGATGGATTGATTCAGGGACTGGGGTAATCGAGATGGGCGTGTTAGAGGCAGTGCGATTGGCGCAGGATAGAGCAGGGTTTAGGGCTGTTGGACATAGGGTCGCTATGAGTCGCAAACAACTCGACGGCACATAACAACAACAACAACTTCTACATTATTCCTGTGTATCACTCCCGATGTTAGTATTGGAAAGCTTAGACTGCAGCTCTAACGCCATGTTGATGATGTCAGCTAGAACCCTATGACCACAGCGGACCCTTTCCCTTGTGATGCAGTGTTTCTAGGGTCCTTGGCCTTTGGGTGGACTCTCCTCCTGCTGTGTTCTTTCTGTGTTCTTGCGACCTAGATATCAATTCTGCTAAAATAATCCTGGAAGAACTTGTTCTTTTGGAGCTTGTGTCCTGCTGCTTGCTCCAATTTCTAGTTAGCTAAAATGTCATGGTTCTGAACATCCTGTGGACAGCAAAAAGAACAAACACCCTAAACCCAGTGCCAGTGACAAAAAGGAAATACAACTGACAGCTAAGGAAGCAAAGGAGGATGGAGCCTCTGGGTTCAACCAGCCATCCCCACTGGACCCACCTGTGAAAACACTTTGCAGTCCAGAGGGGAGCAAATGACAGGAAAATATCTTCTAACAGAGCAAGAAGGCAAGCAGCTGTAACCCAAGACCACCAGTAAGGTGATAAAGCGTCCTCCCTTCCCCCCTTTATATCTACACCCCTGTTCAGCATGAAGAAGTCAGAGAGTCGGCATCCAATTCCCAAATCAATAAGACAGTTGGTTTAATTACCATTGGAAAATGCTTGTCATTCCTCTGTAGTATCTGGTCCCCTCTGCACCCTCATCATTTCCTTCACCTGCTCCCCCCACCGACCAAACTGTGCAGCTCTGCAACTGCATCCTGGCCCATCCTCACCCTTTTGCCCTCAACCCTCACCTCCTTGTACCCCCAATATGTTTTTCCCAATAAAAAAATATTAAAAAAAACCAAATAAAACTTAATCACCATTGGATTATGCTTACCATTACCCTGCCTCTTCTGGTCCCCATTAGATCTTTCTCATTTCCTTCGCCTTCTCCCTCTACGCACCAAATTGTGCAACCCTGTGATTTCATCCTTGCCCATCCTCACTCCTTTGCTTCCAACCCTCACCCCCTTGTATCCTCATACCTGTTTTTCACAATAAAAAAAAAAGAACAAACAGATCTGTCTCCGACAAAGTGCAGCCAGAGTGCTCCTTTGGAGGCAAAGATGTTGAAATTCTGTCTGACATACTCCAGGCATGTTGCTAGGAGAGGCTATTCCCTGGAGAGGGACATCATGCTTGGACAGACAGAGGGTGTGTGAAAGAGAGAAAAATCCTCAGCCAGATGGGATTGCCACAGTGACTGCCGCCATGGGCTCAAGTGTCTCAGAGGTTGTGAGAATGGCAGAAGATAGGACAGGTTTCAGATTTGTTGTTTATAGGGTGTCTATGAATTGCATTCAACTTGATGGCACTTAACAACAACAACAACAAAATGTCAACATTAAAAAAATATCTAATTAGAAGCGGGCCGTTTAACTTCTCAGGGAGCTCTGACATTACTGCAATTAAGGACTCAGCTGATGCCCAAAAGATCGCTGGTTCGAGCTCACCAATTGCTCCACAGGAGAAGATGGGACTCTGCTTCGATAAAGATTACAGACTTGGAATGCCTTTACAGCAATTCTGCTCTGGCCTACAGAGTCACTATAATCAGAACCAACTCTGTGGAAGAGGGTTTTGTTATTTAACTTCTCCAGCTCTCAGTTTCTTTAACTGAGAAACTGAGTGTGAAATACCTTTGCTGGGCTACTAACAGAAAGGTTGTGAGGTTCAAGTCCACCTGAAGGCACCTTGGATTCACACATATGTTCTGTTTGTTGTTGTTGTTATGTGCCATCGAGTCACTTGCAACTCATGGTGACCCTATGTACAAGAGCCCTAAGTCCTGCTCTATCCTATGCCAACTTTATTGTCTCTGACACACCTACCTCCATTGCCCCAGTGACTAAATCAATCCATCTCATTGAGGGTCTTCCTCTCCTGTGCTGTCTCTCCACCCTCCCAAGCATGATGCCCCACTCCAAGGTCTGGTCTGTCCTTGTAACATGCTCAAAGTATGTCAGATGAAGTTTCAGAATCCTTACCTCCAAGGACCAAGCAGCCTGGTTTCATCTTCTCCAGGATGAACCCATTTGCTCTCCTAGCAGTCCATGGTATGTTTATTCAATAATCTTCTGCAGCACCACAGCTCAATTGCATCAATTCTTTTTCTATCATCCCTAGTCACTGTCCAGCTCTCTGACGCATAGCAAGCAATTGTGAAGACTATGGCCCGAATCAGGTGCACCTTAGTCTCCAGACTGACATTGTTGCTCTTTAGCACTCTAGCGAGGTCCCTGACAGCAAACTTTCCAGTGCAATCTGTCTTTTTATTTACTGGCTGCCGGTACCAAGAGTGTTGACTGTGTAGCCAAACAAACTAAAATTGTTAATGATCTTAATCCCTTAACTATCTATAATGACTGGGGTAATGGGGTAAGTGTGTCAGAGACAGTAAGAGTGGCATAGGATAGAGTTCAGAGCTGTTGTACATAGGGTTGCTATGAGTCACAGGGGACTTGACAGCACATAACAACAACAACAACAACAAACAACACCACCAATTTCCTTAAACTGTAAGAATTGGGGTAATGGGGACTCTGTCATGCTCATACTGACGTCCCAACACCAAATGTGATGAGTAGCAGGCAGCAGCTGCTGAGTGGAATCTTCTGTCAGAGGACACTGAGTGGAGTTTAAAGCCAGTTCTGCCACAACACAGCTCATGCCCTGGGAGGTAAAATCCAGGAAAACACAACAGTGTGTACAATCATCGACCCTCCAGGCTCCTGAACACGCTTGCTCAATACCTATCCCAATCTCTCTCTCTCTTACAGGATTCTTTGCTCACAAAGTGGAGCATGAGAGCAAGACCCACAATGGAAGGACCTTCCAGCGGACCGGGACGCTGGCCTTTGAGAGGGTCTACACAGCCAAGTGAGTCCAAACTCTGACACTGCTGCCCACCAGAGTTGGGGAGGTCAGTAGGACTGGGCCTGGGCTCAGAGCCTCCCTCCAGGGTCAAGGCCACCCACAAGGTGCTATATACTGGTGCCTGAAAACACATCCCCAGGGAAGGTCTTTGAAGAGTTCTAGTGGTGTAGTACGGCTACCGCAAAGTTAGTGGTTTGAATCTACCAGTCACTCTGAGGGATAAAGACAAGGCAATCTGCTTTCCTAAAGATGATAGCCTGGGACACACCAGGGGACAGTTCCATGAGGATGTGAGGATATGAGAGCAGGGGTGTAGCCTCCTCAACCTTCCCTTGGCCCAGAAATATCTGGGGAAGACATTTAGTCATGTAAGTTGACCAATTTCCTGTGGGCTTAGTCCCAAGATACCGTCATGAAAACCAGCAATCACTCTGGGTTTAAGAACTGCAGGGGGACACGCAGGCTGCAGCAACCTGCTTCCCACCTCACTCCTGATGGGACGTTTGAAGATGTCTCCAGAACATTTCTCCTTGGGCAACGAAAACAAGAAGAGACTGTGGAAGGGTTCCGTAATTGCCTTCCACCTCCTCCCCTCGGCTCTTAAATAACAAGACTGAAAACACCTGCCCAGCCCAGTGAAGGGGAGGGAAGTTATCTGAGATGCAAATCCAGTGGGTGTGAGCCACACACCCACATAGTTCCTTTAAGCAGCACGCATTTAAAGTCGATCTGCTGGCCCCTATTTACCTGCATTTCTGCTGCTGTGGTCAGTGGCCCATTAGAGAGGAAATTCCAGAACCTTCTAGATTCCTTCCAGAGCATGTTTTGTATTGCAGAGGAGCTGGCTCTGATGTCTGCAGACATCTCTGCAAAAGAGGGTATTCATGGCTACCTAAGAAAAGTATGGTTAGGTTCATAGGGACCAGGAAAACACACAAAGGGATGAGGAGGTACACTGGTGGCAGGCTCTGAGAGGCCCAGGATGGCTCTGGGGCAATCAAAGTCAAACCTGCTGCTGTTCAGTGGCCTATCACCCCTAGTGACGTGGCAGGACAGAGGGCTCCCAGGGCTGTGATCTTTAAGGCTCTCAGCAGAACAGACTGACATCATATCTGTACCAATGGGGTTCAGCATATCAGAGATTGTCAGGATGGTGCAGGATAGGGCAACAGGGCAAGGGTCAGATCTGTTGTTCATAGGGCCTGTCTTCCAAGGCCTCTCTGGGTGGATTCAAACCACCAACCTTTTGCTTAGCCAAGTGTGTTAAAGTTTTGCACCACCGGAAGGAGTCCCATTTTAAAAACAGCTAATACTCAAATACGATCGAGAACTGCTGAGAAAGCACCTGGGTGAATAGGGGGATGACAACCCATCCATAGGAGACACTGGGAAGTCAGTTTAACTCACAGGCTGCCAGTGGCACCTCCTGGATTCGGGCCCTCATTCCCAGTGGGTTTACCACATACCCAGTGGCTAACCGAAAAGTCAGTGGTTCAAATCTGGAGCTGCTCTAGTTAAGACTTACTGGCTGTGCTACTCTGTCTTACAGAGTAATCCACTTGATAGCAATGGGCAGGCTTGGTTTTGGTTCAAGATAGTAGATTGCATTGCAGTGGAGAATTTGTCTCCCGTGGGACCCCCAGCTAACGTACACTCTGACAACACTCACCTGCCTGTTGCCCGACTCAAAGGGACTCCATGCACAACAGAACCAGATGGTGCAGGATCAGTGCATTGTGATCTAAAGGTTTTCACTGGCTGGTTTGGCAAGCAGACAGGCCTTTCTTCCTATTTCAGGCTGCAAATTTCACTGAAAGCAGGACTGAAGGACAGTGGTGTCCTCCCTGCCTCGCTCTCTGGGGGTGGAAGGTGGGGATCTTACCACTGCTCAGCTTCTTGTCTGACTTCTCTGCATGCCTTTACGACTCATTTGCAAAGTTCATGTCTCAATTTCATGAAGCACGCTGGGGCAGTGGGAACAAGGGCCCTGTAGAGGACGCAGCCAGGCGTGAGTCTCGACTGACTGCGTGGTGGAAAATGCGTGACAGGAGCTGGAGCCCTTGCTCGCTTTTCACCAGGGGCCACTCCAGGGGGGGCGCTCCGAGGGGCTGCTGGCTGCCACATCTTCCACGATGCAGCACATACCCGGTGCTCAGTAGCGAGTCCTCCTTAACAGTCCCCCACTCCTTCTCTGTTCACTCTGCAGCCAGAACTGCGTGGACGCGTACCCCACTTTCCTGGCTGTGCTCTGGTGCGCTGGGCTGATGTGCAGTCAAGGTAAATCACTAAGTGCATTTCCGGCGGGTCAGAGGGCAGAGGGCCGTAGTTTCGTTGGAAAGACTAAGCCTGACCCCTGAGTGTGTCCGCACAGGCGCAGACCCCAGGAGGTTGTGCGCAGACGCGGGTACTTTGGAGGCACTGACCCCAGTATGTCTGCCCCAGGTTAGTTTCTGGCGAAAAGTCACTTAATCCTTAAGCAGCACGGGCTCGGGTTCAGAGCATCTTGAGTGAGAGTACCCTCAGGAGCTCTTCCAGCCTCTGGCTTGGTTTTCTTGCTAACAGGCATCCAGAGCCATGCGTTGGAAGGCCTCAGGCTAGGTTCCAGGCTTAACCCTCCCAGTCAGCTCAGCCTGGGGTCGACTCTGGAACTGAAATGAAGTGAAAACTCAGTCCTCTGAGTCTCCTTTGGAGATAGAGCATCTTGGAACATTCGGCTGTGATGGCCAGTTTGATAGTGTGCTGGGGTCCTCGTGTCCCACACACTGTGGTCTCTGCCCCGAGGTGCCGATGACCTAAGAAAACAGGTAGGGGACATGATCAGCCCCCAAAGAGCTCCATGTTTCTTATCAGCATCTTCCCACATTCAAAGGCGGACTTTGATCTCGTTTTACAGCACTGGTCTTTGTGGTGTTTTCCAGAGACTGTGTTTTTCACAAATTAAAGGTTTGGGGCAATCCTGCCTTGAGCAAGTTTATAGATGAGTTTTCCCAACAGCGTGGGATCATTCTCAGAGTATTTTAAAGGTTTCCACCAGGCTATTGCACTCTTAGGGAACTCTGGTGGCTCAGCAGTAAGGAATTAGCTACCAATGCAGAGGTAAGCAGTTTGAATCCACCAGCTGCTTCACAGAAGAAGGATGTGCAGTCTCCTCCAGGATGATTTACTGCCTCTGAAAACCTGCTGGAGGGTTACCTATGGGTTGGTTCCAACTCATCGACACTCAATAGCAATAACAACAGTTGCACACTTATTGTTCTAAATCCGTGTGCCACCAGGGCACCTGAGAAGTGAAGATACTATATTCCTCTCTATAGGTAACTCTGGTGGTGTAGTTTATAGGAAGTTGCACAGCTAAGCCCAAGGCCATGTGTTTGAATCTACCAGCTGCTCTATGGATGTAGTACAGCCTCCCATAAACTTGAGGGACAGCTATGAGTCAATTCACACCCGATAGCAATGAGTTGACAGAGTTGATTTGTTTCTTTAATACATAGCCGTTGAATACCTCCAGTGTGGCAAGGCCTGTACTGGGATTAACAGTAATAGGTCACACAGATGTGTGGTAAGGCACCCAGCCAGTTGTCGATAGGGACCATAGGAAAGGAGATGAACTGATGAATTATCACCCATGGCGAGAAGCAACCTGGAATAACAGAGTAACTCCTGGTGAGAGAGCACAGTTGTGAGGGAATAGGTGGCAGAAACCCTCCTAGGGACACCAGGTGGCCTTCTCCTGGGTTATATAGGGCTTCAGGACCTCATAAATTTATTTTTCCATCTTCTCCTCTGAGTTAACTTAGAAACATATCTGACATGACTTGAAAAGTCAAGTCCTGCTCCTCTTGAATGAGGAGTTAAGCTATCTTTTCTTCCTTAGATGATAGTTGAGTTAGATGAATCTAGAGTTCCTTTAAATGAGTTCTGTTGCTGTCATGGTTAAATGTTCAACTGCCAATCATAAGATTGGTGGTTTGAGCCCACCTATCAGCCCTGCAGGAGAAAGATCTGACCATCTGGTCCCATGAGAATGACCACCCAGGTCATTCTATGGGGCAGTTCTACTCTGGCTCACGGGATCAAGGTGAGTTGGAATCAACTCTATAGCAACTACCAACAACAATCTGCCTTTAGTTCCTTGACAATCAAGAGAGCAGATGTGCCTCTAACACAGAGCATGGCACATGCCAGACCGAGCCATACAAAACTGCCAATACCACAAATTACTCCATACCAATTGCCTGAATAATTGCCTTTCGAAAAATCAGGACAAAGCTGGTTCCTATAAGCAGAGGATGAAGATTTCCCAAATGTCAAACTTTTACAAACTGCTGCAACATTCCATCATCTCTCTTAAAACAACAACAACAACAACAAAACAAAACACACCCCCAAACTCATTACCATCAAGCCAGAACAGCCCCATCGCTGACCCTCCGTCTGGTTTTGGAGGTTACAAATAGCATGGGAGGAGGCTGAGTTGTTTCTCCTGAGAAGGCTCTGGTGCATTTGAACTCCTGGAGAGACACACAGCCTTTGGGTTAGCAGTGTAATTCCAGAGCTCACTCCATCATCCCCAACACCAACTATTCCCCTCCCTCCCTATTGTCTTTGGGTTCCCTAATTCACTGCATTGTCTCACAGAAACTCACAAACCACCAGACATGGCTCATGTGGTTCTGGATAAGCCCACGTCGCAGGTCAGGCTTATTCAGTCTGGAGGGCTTTGCTATGCGCAGGGACACAGGGCTGATGTTTGGCTTCCCAGTGGGCTGCAGGTGGCAGCTCTCAGGGTGGCTGGTTGAGGTCAGTCCCTTTGTGTGTAGTGACTGTTGGATGATGGACAGTTTGGCTTGCTGGGCAGCTGGACTAGGTTAGACGCAGTATTTTGTTACCCACAAAAAGAGCGTGTTCATGTTGTTCAGCCTAACAAAGGAAGCTCAGTGAATGTGTGGGCTGATGTGTTGGTATTGAGGAGACTGAGAATCAGACAAGCCCTGGTTTCAAATTCCACCCCTTCCCCTTAACCACTTACTTTTATTCATTCACTGTTAGGTGCTGTTGAGTCGGTTCCACCTCATAGCAACCCCCACAGACATCAAAACACAACACAAAACAAAGCACAAACTGCCTGGTCCTGCTTCATCCACACAGTCACTGTGGGTTGAAACCCATTGTTGCAATCACTGTGTCAAATCATCTCATTGAGGGTCTTCCTCTTTCTCACTGACCCTCAACTTTAATAAAGCACAATGTCCTTCTCCAGGGACTGGCCCCTCCTGATATTATGTCCAAATTATGTGAGATCATGTCTCACCATCTTTGCCTCTAAGGAGCTCCCTGGCAGTACTTCTTCCCAGACAGATTTCTTTACTGTTCTGGTTGTTGCTGGGGACCATAGAGTCGGAACAACCCATAGCTGACCCTCTAGTGGGTTCTCAGAGGCAGTTAATTGCACGGGAGGAGTTTGTCCATCCTTCTCCCACGGAGCATCTGGTGGATCCGAATCACGTGCCTTCAGGATTGCAGCACGGCTTACTACCACACTGAATATTCTACACCAATGCCACAGTGCAAAGGCATGTTTATTAGATGCCGTTTATATACCAGTTCTCTGCCAGCGTGAAGGCTTTGCCCGTGTGAATCTTTTGGTCTGGGCAGAATGACCTCATTGGGCCTCAAACACCTCATCTGTTGAAGGGTGACAGTGACCGTGCTTGCTGTGAAGGGGAGAAATTCAAATCCCCAGAGAGCCCGGAGCAGCTCCTGATACACTGACAGCGCTCAGTCAGCAGCAGTTCATTTAGTGTGAACTGACAGTGCTCGGGACTTTGCAAAGCGCATTCTAGCCCTGGTCCTCTTTCACCCTCACCCTAATTCCTAAATGGAGTAGTCTGTAAAGATTTGTGCTGCTAACATAAAGGTCATGACTCTCTGGCAGTTCTAATCCAGTGGCAGCTGCAGGGGCGAAAGTTGTGCAATCACCTCCTGTGTGATTTACAGCCTCAGGAAACTGCCTGGAGGGTCGCTGGGAGTCAGTTCAGAGTTGACGGCAGTGCTTTTTTTTTTTTCAGTTTGGTTCCCAAGTGTAGCTGCTATTAACTGCTGTCTGGTTCCAACTCACAGTGACCTAGGGGGTATAAGTAGTTGTCACTTGACTGATAACCTAGAGGTTGGTGGTTTGAATCCAGCCGTAGGTACTACAGTAGAAAAGGTCCAGTGGTCTGCCTCTGCTAAGATTTCAAAAAACAAAATCAACCCCACAGCTGTTGAGTTGAATGTGACTCAGAGAAACTCTTAAAGTTTCCTATGGAAAAGATTCACATTAAATGAAAGTCATAAACGCTTTTTGTAAACTCTATACCATAAGGTATATTCAGGCCATTGTCTTTCTGATCACATGCTGTGTGCATCTGAGAGCTGAATAGTGAATAAAGATGACAGAAGAATTGATACCTTTGAGCTGTAGTGTTATGTCTTGGAGGGGAATCAGCTGGAGTGCTCTTTGGAGGCAAGAAAGATGAGGCTTCACCTCACATACTTTGGACATATTGCTAGAAGGGGCTATTCTTTGGAGAAGGATATGATACTGGGAAGGGTGGAAGGTTGGCAAGAGGAAGACCCTCAAGCAGGTGGATTGACACAGTGACTGTTGCAATGGGCTCCAACGTGTCAGGAAGTGTGAGGATGGTGCAGGATAGAATAGGTTCAGATCCACTGTTCATAGGGTCTCTATGAGTCATACACAACTTGACTGCATCTAACAACAACAATACCATGAGAGCAGTGTAAGGCAATACTGTTATTAAGGAGCCCTGGTGATAGTGCCTAATGTTCTGCAGTTCGAATCCACCAGCTCCTCCCAGAGAGAAAGATAAGGAAGTCTCCTCCTGTAAAGATTTACAGCATCAGAAACATGATGGAGGGTTGCTGTCAGTCGAGATTGGCTCAGTGTCAGTGGATCCTTGTTATTATTATTCTGTTCTGTAAATCTTTACAGAAGAGCCTGCCACATCTTTCCCCCAAGGGAGCACCTGGTGGGCTTGAACTGCTGACCTTTTGCCTAGCAGTCCATTGCTTTAACCACTGTGAATGTCATAATACTGTGGTTGTTTTCTTTTGATTTTTTTCAACAGCCATGTCAAAATGTACACAAACATCTAAAATCATTGTGGATATTAGATGCCATTGAACAACCCCAGGTCCAACAGAAGCGAACCCTGCCTGTCCTGTGCCACCTTCACAGTGTCTGCTGTGCTGTGCTGTGACCATCACTGCAGCCACTGGGTCAGCCCAGAGTCTTCCTCTCCTTCTTCAGTCATGATGTGTAGTTCAAAGACTGGCCTCTACTGATAACATGCCCAAAGTATGCCTATTCCGTGTGCAACAGCATGATACAAACATTGAAAATATTGTGAGAATGACCAAAATGGGACCCACAGACACAAAGTGATCCGCTTGCTGTTGGAATGACAGCACGAACAGACATGCAATACGCAGGGTCGCCAACAACCTTTGTAAAGCGCAGCATCTGTCAAGTGTGGTCTCATGAGGTCTGTCCGTGCCACTGTGGTGCATCATTGTGTCTTGTTTGCTCCTGATCTAACACAATCATTTTCCATCTCTCCTCAGCTCCTGCCGCCTTTGCCGGGCTGATGTACTTGTTTGTGAGACAAAAGTACTTCGTGGGTTACCTAGGAGAGAGAACCCAGAGGTAGGCCGCTGGACCGTTCACATTTTTGGCAGGAAGAGTGACCACTGAAAACAATATTCTGAGCTGCATTTAAGGCTCCTTAGGCTCATGTGTAAGAAGCCAGCTCTGAAGGTGCCATGGGTAAGCGCTTGGATACCAAGCAAAAGGCTGTTGGTTCAAACCCACGCTGTGGCTCCGTGAGAGAAAGACCTGGTGACCTACTTCTGTAAAGATGGTGCAGTTGACCCGCTGCTGTAGAGTCCAGTTGCTGGAGACTCAGGCTTTTAGGTTAACCACCAGAGCTCCTTAGAAAAGCAGTATAAATTCACTCAGTGCCACTGAGTCAGTTCCCACTCATGGAGGAGACTGCCCATCTTTCTCCTTCAGAGCAGCTGGTGGATTCAAGCCACTGGAGACACACAAACTGGTTAGTAGTGCAACGTCCTCTGGACTAGGATACCCAGAGAGTAGTTTTATTTTGAAACATGAGGGATTGCCATGAATTGGAGTTGACTTGATTGAAAAGGGTTCGGTTTTTCGTTACCTGACAGGAGTCCTGGGGTTCAGTATATTACAAGTTGTGCTGTTAAGAAGAAGGTTGGTGGTTTGAATCTGCTCGCTGTTCCTCAAAAGAAAGAGAGGCAGTTTCCTTCCATAAACATCAAAAACAGCCTCAGAAACCTGTTGGGTTTTGCTGTGAGTCAGGATGGATTCAATAACAGTGGGTTTAGTTTCAGGAAGTCCCAATGGCCCCACATTTAATGACTTGATGGAGTCTTCCTGGCTGTGATCTTTACAGGAAGGAGCCTGGTTGTGGCACAGGGGTTATGCTCTTGGCTTCTCACTAGCCAATTGGTGGTTCAGATCTACCCAGCTGCCTCATGAAATACCTGGCCAGCTGCTTCTCTAAGGACGACAGCCCTGGAGGCAAGTTCTGTTGTGTCACATGGGTCACTGTGAATCAGAATTGATTCAATGGTACCCCCAGTAACAACATATGGGGATGGGGTGCCCCATAGGATCCCCATCCTTCTCTTTCTGAACTCGGAGGTCTCTGGAAATCTAGCTAGGGCACTCAGGCAGTTCTCACATTAAAAAAATGCCCCAAGAGCACTGGACCCACAAAGGGGGCCTTAGAGTCTCCAAGCCCCTTGGTTGCAATCCCACCCCTCCGCTCCCACCCAGCGCTGTCTGGGCCTTGAATGACTTCCTCTGTCTGGCTTTCTGAAGTCTCTGTGAGTGAAACATGCCATTGTTTGCCTAAAGAAATGGGAACCCATGCTCGCACCTTGCGATAAGTGCTCTTGAGTAACAGATCTTCCGGGGAGCCCAGACGGAGAGGATGCTGAGAAAGCCAGACACAGCGATACACGACAGACAAAATTTTCACCATGTTGTTTATAGAGGGAAGCAGACAGACACACCCCAAGTGGTCCTGGAGCATCCCCCGCCCCTGGGCTGGGAAATCTGGGCTCTAGGATAAGAAACTGTTATATTGACACAAAAAAAGTGTTCACTTACTGTAAGCAACCAGTTCCTTCTAGCTCAGAATTCCTAATGCTTCCAGAGGGTTCTGAGAGATGGGGATGTATTCTTGAAGGAATGTAGTTCTCAATATGCTGACCCCACCAGGAAGGACAGTCCCTATTGTGCTGACCGTGTCAGGAGAGGTCAGTCCTTGTTGTGCTGACCCTATCAGAAGAGACCAGTCCCTGTTGTGCTGACCCTATCAGGAGAGGCCAGTCACCATTGTACTGACCCTATCAGGAGAGGGCAGTTCCCAGTGTGCTGACCCTGTCGGGAAAGGCCAGTCCCCAGTGTGCTGAACCTGTCAGGAGAGGCCAGGCCCTGGAGAGGGACAGCACACTGAGGAAGGCAAAGGGTCAGCAAAGGAAAGGAAGACTCTCAGCCGGAAGGACTGGCACAGGGGCTGGGGCAGTTAGCTCGAGCACAGACTGGTTGTGAGGTTGACACAGAACAGGGTGGTATTCAGACTGTTACATGTGGGGTGACTTGGAACTGGAGCTGACTCGATGGCACCCAACAATGGGCTGAAGCAAGCAGCCCCTCAGCAAGGTGGACTGACAGTGGCTGCGGCAGTGGGGTCATGCACAGCAGTGAGAGTGAGGATGGGGCAGGAGCAGGCAGGGTCTCCTTCTGTTCTACAGGGGTCACCGGGAGTCGGCACCCACTCAGCAGCACCTCACGAGCTTTCCCTGCCCGCTCCTTGTTATCTGTTCTCACACCCCCTCTGTCTCCGGCTGCAGCACCTTTTCTAGTGGGCTCTCCAGCTAGACAGAGCCCTGTTCCATTGATGAAGCCAATCACATCTCAGTGAGTGAGAGCAGTGCCCGTGTGAGCAGGAGTGACAGAGCGCAGGGATGTGAGCGAGGCTGTGAGAAGCTGAGCTGGGCAGGAAGAGGAAGCTCTGACTTTCAGTCTTTCCCGCTCTCATCTCTGTTCACCCCTCACTTGCTGCTTCCTGGTTACTCCCTCCACCCACGGATGCCCTATCACTGTCACCCTCAACAGCCCCACAGGAGACTCCTTATTTTCTTTTACCCTGAAAAATGATTAGCTTATCTGAGAGTCCCCAAAATTAGGATAGGGGTGGAGTGTCCATCAAGGTTTTGAAGAAAAGGGCCCTTTTGGAGCCCTGGTGATACAGTAGTTAAAGCACCTGACTGCCAACTGAAAGGTTGGTGTTTCAAACACATCAGCTGCTCCATTAGAGAGAGATGTAGGTCCTTTCTAGTCTGTAAGTTCAGCTGAAACCTGTCCACCATGGGTGACCCTACTAGGACTTGAATTATTGGTGACATAGCTTCCAGATTCACAGCAACACACAAACCATCTCGGTGCAGAAAATAACAGAAGGATGGTGAAGCGTAGTCACTAACATAGCAGTTAAGGATGTGTGGGATCTTGGTTTCTTCCTCTTTTTTTTTGTTCTAAGCTGCCATCTGGGCTTAGACTGAGTGGCAGGTGCCATTGTAATTGTAAGGCTTTTTGCCTTTTATCAGCCACCTATTCCAGTTGGCACTTCGCTGCTCTCTCTTCCTGTTGCTCAAACTCCTTTTGGAGCATCTGTCAAGTTCCTCTTTAGAATCTAAAGGTCTCAGCTCAACTGTTGATGGGCAAGAATTGGTGAAGGAGCTCTGATGGCCCAACAGTTAAACATGTGGATGCTAACCAAAAGGTTAGTGATTCAAATCCACCCATTGGCTCTGATGATCTGTTCTGGTAGAGATGGTTGTTGTTAGGTGCTATTAGATTGGTTCCAACCATATGACCATTCCCACGACCATGTGTACGACAGGTGGACACACTGCCCTGTCCCTCACCATTAGCACTCACCACCCCAATCCATCTCACGAAGGGTCGTTCTTTTTTGTTGAAACTCTAAGTTTTCCAAACATGTCTTTCTCCAGGGACTAGTCCCTCTTGATAACATGCCCAGAGAATGTGAAATGAAGTCTCACCATCCTTACTTCTAAAGAGCATTCTGGCTGCATTTCATCCAAGACAGGTTGATTTGTTCTCTTGGTAGCCTACACTATCTTCAATATTCTTCTCCAAGACCACAATTCAAAGGTATCAACTTAATAAAGATTGTTGTTGTTGAGTTAGGTGCCGTCAAGTTAAATATGACTCATAGCAACCCTACGAACAATAGATCTGAATCCTGTCCTCTCCTGAGCCATCCTCATGATTTTTTACACACTTGAGCCCATTGCTGCAGTCACTGTTCTAGTCCATCTCATTGAGGGTCTTCCTTTCTTTTGCTGACCCTCCAGCTTTCCAAGCATGATGTCCCTTTCCAAGGAATAGCCCCTAACAACATGTGCAAAGTATGTTAGACAAAGTGTCACCATCCTTGTCTCTGAAGAGAACTCTGGCTTCACCGTCTCCAAGACATAATCTCTTTGTACTTTTGGCAGTCCATGGGATATTCAGTACTCTTCTCCAACAACACAACTCTAAGGCACTGATTCTTTTTCTGTCATCCTTTCTTATTTCCAGCTCACAGATGCATAGCATGTGACTGATAAATGACATCTTGAATCAAGTGCAACTCAGTGGGAGACTTTCTTTACAGCTGACTTTCCCAATGCAATACACCTTTTCATTTCTTGACTTCTGGTGTCAAGAGTATTGATTGTGGACGATGAAACAGATGACAATTCAAATCTTTCCTTTATCTACCATGATATTGTCTATCAACTTAGTGGTGGGGGTTTTTGTCTTCTTGATGTTGAAATGTAATCCATATTGAAGGCTCTAATCTTTGATCCCTATAGCAAGCATTTCAGGTCCTCCTCACTTTCAGCAAGCAAAGTTATGTCATTTGCATAATGCAGGCTGTTGATAACTCTTCTCCTATTCTGATGCCACCGTTTTCTTCGAAGTCCAGCTTTTTGAATGGTTTGCTCAGCATACAGAATCAGAGCTGTATTCTCTCTCCAAACCTGTTCATTCTGTAGGTTGAGGAATAAAAATTAGAGCCTTGATGACCCTGTGGGGCAGGCCTTGTCTGTCACATGGGGCCATCATGAGTCAGAACTGACTCAACCCACTACCACCCAGGTTTAGGGGCACACCATCCTGTCAGGATGCACCACTATGTAATTTTTTCACTAGAATGTTTCCCTGTGCATGTCTGAAATAGATCTGAAAATCGCATTTTCTTGTTTCTGGTAGCTTCATCCACGCCATCAATTTGAACTCCTACGATATTTGACTTTCCACAGTTTAATGTATCTGCATCCACTGTTCTGTAGGGAGTTTTGGTCTAGCTTTAAAAATAATAAAAAAAAATTTCATTCATCATTTTTTTATATTTTATTTTTTTTAAATTTTATTTTATATTGGTTTACATACAAAGTTAATAAAGTTCATATACATTGCTTTTCCACACTGGACTTTCCCCCTTTCCTTTACATATTCCTCCCTCTACCCATTGAATTGCGTGACCCTATATTTAAGCCCCCTTCCTCCTTGGATCCTTATACACTCTTTACAATAATGGTCCTATATAGTATTTGTCTTTATGAGACTGAGTTATTTCACTTAACTGCTTTCCAGTCCCTCAAATGTTAGGTAATAATTTTCAACATCAGTGCTCCTGCGTGCTGCATAATATTCCATTGTGTGACTGTACCATAATTTCTCAATCCCTTCCATTGTGGTTGGACATTTGGCTGTTTCCATGTTCTCATAATAGTGAATAATGCTGCTATGAACATTGGTGTGCAAGTCTCTGTGCCTCAGTTCCCATTTTCTTGGGTATATTCCAAGTAGTGGAATAGCTGGGTCATAAAAAACACTGATAATCAAATTACAAAATGGGCAAATGACTTGGAAAGACTCTTCACAGAAGAGGAAATTTGGATGGCAGATACATGAAGAAATGTTCCAAATCACTGGCAATAAGAGAGATGCAAATAAAAACCACAATTAGATACCATCTTACCCCAGCAGCAGTGGCAACGTTTAGCAGGGCATCATATAATAAACGTTGGAGAGTATGTGGTGAAATAGGAACTTTTATACACTGTTGGTGGGATTGTAAAACGGTAAAACCACTCTGGAAGGCAGTTTGGTGTTTCCTTAAATTTTTTTTTAATTGTCATTTGAGTGAAAGTTTGTAGAGCAAATTTGTTTTCCAATCACTCACTCATACATATTTTGTCCTTTGACATTAATTACAATATCCACCATGTTACTGGACTCTTCCCACTTCCTCAATGTGATTCTTGTTTTCATTCATCCTTTTATCCTCACCCCCTTTTATTTTCTTCCTGGGCAAATGCTGACCTTTTGATCTCATGTAGTTGTTTTAGGGACCAAGGGCTTTCTGGTTTTACTCTTCATGCTGTAGGGCTGTCTGTTATTTAAGTGAAAGTTGTGCTACAGGGGTGAGTTTATTCTCAGTGTCAAAGACTAATTTTCCAATCATAGATTACCAGGACTTTCTTCTGAGGCACCTCTGAGTGGACTTGAGTCTTCACCTTTTGGCTTGAGAGTCAAGCACTTTAACCATTTGTACCATTCAGGGAAAGAGAAGTTCATGTTTAATTACTGAGTATCTTTTCAGTTCTTGTTAGGGTTACATTCCATATCATCTTATGAACCTTTGGAGTCTCTCTCTCTCTTTTTTTTGTTTTCCTCTTTTTCATTTTTTAAATTTATTTTAATGAAAGTTTATAGAGATTGGATTTCCATTCATTCATTGTTGCATATTTTCCTCCCTGCCCACTCCCTTCCCCCCAGTTCACTTTTATCTTTGAAAAGTAGAAAAAAAAATAAAAATTTCTTTGTTATATCCCCCCTTCCCCCACCCCAGTACACTCCACTAAGCAGCTTTCATTCTGGACTCTTGTCCTGACAATAATACTTAATCATATATTCCCCTAGACAGTTCTCTCCTTCATCTGTTTCAATGCAATATACATTATTTATCCCCTCATAGTTTCCTCTCAATTCCAATGTCAGTCCTGCTTTACAACAGTGGTACTAAGCAGTATTTGTCCTTTTGTGACTGAGATATTCCACTCAGCATAATGTCCTCTATCTAGGGTCACCCATTTTGTATATTATTTCATGAGTTCCTTGTTTTTCAATGCAGCATGGTATTCCATTGCATGAATATACCAGAGCTTCTCTATCCATTTGTTTGTTGATGGGCACTTAGGTTGTTTCCAACTCTTTGCTATTGTGAACAAAGCCACAATAACCATGGGTGAGCATATATCTGCTTGGGTGGCAGTTCTGGTTTTTTTTAGGGTATATTCCCAGTAGTGGAATTGCTAGGTCAAATGGTATTTTTATTTCCAACTATTTGAGAAAGCACCATACAGACTTCCATAGTGGTTCCACCATTTTACACTCCCACCAACAGTGAAAAAGGGTTCCAGTTTCTCCACAACCTCACCAGCATTTGTTGTTTTGCTATTCTTACTGCGGTGAGATGACTTTGCATAGTCGTTTTGAAATGCTAAGATCCATTCTATTTTATTATACCCTGGTGGTGTAGTCAGTAGGAGTCATACTGCTGACCAAACACTGTGCCTCTCTAGAAGTTCGAATCCTCCAGCAGCTCTGAGGAAGAAACATGGGCAGTCTCCTTTTATGTGACTTACAGCCTCTGGGAACCTGCTGGAGGGCCAGCTATGAGAAGTTCCCAACTCTATAGCCATGCGTTTTTGCATTTTCTGATTCACTTAGACCTCAGAGAGATTGTGTGTTCTGTGCCAGATCATTGTGAGAAAGTGGATAGATACTTAGCTGAAGGGGGTACTTGGATTTTTGGTTTCTCAGTGCGCTCTAAATTTATGTTTATGCTCCACTGTAGTCTATCAAGCGTGTACTAGAAAAAAACCCCAAATACAGCTTCCACACCAAAGTAAAAACCGTATCAAACCCACTGCTATCAAGTTGATCCCAACTCGTAATGACTCACCATCAGATTTCTGAGGCTGTAATCATTGTGGGGGGAAATAGCCCATCTTTCTCTCTCTGAGAAACTAGTGGATTTGAACCACTGACCTTTTGTCTCACAGTCCAACACAAAGCACAGTACAGTGCCAAGGGTCCATAAGTGTGCAATTGCATGATGGCAAAGGTTGAAATGTTGTTAAGGATGACCCCAAAATAGAGCACAGAGACCTGAGGGGAACACTGGCTGTTGGGGAAATGACACCCAGAGAGTTGCTCGATGCAGTTGTCACAGATCTTCAAAGCACAATTAACTGTGAAGTCTCCCAGACACAGCAGTACCTTTCAGAATCCACCATCTTTTTTTTGGTCATTGGAAGTGTCTCGAAAGCCAAAAAGACTAAACAATTGCTGTCAAATTGACTCTGATTAATGGCAGCCATGCACGTCTGCGAGGACTTGTGACCTGTAGCGTTTTTCAGTGGCTGAGACCTTTTAGAAGATTGCCAGGTGAATTTGAACTCCTGTCCTTTCCTGCAGCAGCCAACCACTTAACCATTAGCACTACTCTGGGACTCCACTGTATGACCCCTGGTGGTGTAGTGCACTGTGTGTTGGCCTGCTAACTCCAAGGTTGGCAGTTCAAATCCATCATCTGCTCTGGGAGAGAAAGATGAGAAAGCCTCCCCTGGTTAAGATTTATAGCCTCAGAAATCCAAGGGAGGGCCAGCATGTATTGGAATCAACTTGATGCCATTGGGTTTGGGGATTTTTTTTGAGGGGAGGGGAATTTAGAATCTAGTTGTAACAAACTTGCATAGTGCCTTTGAGCAGATTCTGACTCATACTGATCTTAAGGGACAGCAGAATTGCCTTTAAGATTTTCTGAGTTGTATTCTTAACCGGAGCAGAGCATGAGGTCTTCCTGCTGTGGATCCTCTAGGTGGGTTTGAACCGCCAACTCTGTTGCTAGCAGTCCAGGGCTTTCCTGTTTTCACCACCAGAGATGCCAGCACCAGCCATCCAGGGTCTCCTTGACAGATGGCAGCCCTGGCAAGGGTTGCAGTGAGCCAGCTGTGTTCCTCCTCTCTCCAATCTGAACCCCTGATGACCTCTCTGTGACACTAAGGACTAAAGCTGGGAATGAAATCAGGAGGAGTCCAGAGGCAGAAGAACTTTAATAGATCTGTCATTTGTGGCTTTGAAATCTGTCCCGAAATCTGTCCCGTGGCAAATAAATGGCTCAGATCCCGCCGTCCCTCACGTGCAATAAATGGAGCCGTGATTCGAGCCCCTTTCACTACAGACGGTGTGTGTGGATTGATTTCTGTGCTGTATGTCCCATTTCTTTGCAGCACACCTGGCTACATCTTCGGGAAGCGGATCATCCTGTTCCTGTTCCTTATGTCTTTGGCTGGGATATTAAACTATTTCCTCATCCTCTGCTTCGGAAGCGACTTTGAAAACTACATCAGAACCGTGACCACCACCATCTCCCCTCTGTTGCTCATCCCTTAGCACGTGGTGAATGCTGGGATGGCCCCCTCCCCTAATGGACACCAGCAAGCCTTGTAACTCAACCCACACGAGGGCGAGGGCAAGGACGAGGATGGGGACTCTGTGTATAACTAAATCTGAGGACCATTGGGCCCACCGCTTGATGCACCCTTGCTTTTCTAGGAAGAAAAACCATTCCAAGTCAGCTCCACCCCCGCATGCTGACATCATCCCAATTTGCTATTCTAATTCCCCCGTTCGTCCCTCTTTTACTTCTACTCTTGAAGGGGCAGATTTTATGTCTTCAAATAAAATGCAAAGATGTGTTTCAGACAAGTGGTTGAGTGCTGTTATTGTCGCTGATTTTCATTTCCTCAGTGTGCATGTTGTGTGTGATGTGGGGTATGTGCACATGTGAGCGCATGTACATCTGAGTTACCTCTATGTGATCCTTAGCTAACTAAAGATCAGGAAAAAGACACTACCGTCCTTCCAGCAGAACACTTTCTCAAGGAAGCTTTTTCTCTTAAAAAAAAAGAGGGTGTTTCCCCCCACCTTTGGTGCTGGTTGTTGGGAATTTACAAAGCAGAGCAGAAGTCCTCTGGACCCCAACTCTACAATTCCTTGACAGCAATTCCATTCCAAGAGTCATATCACTCCTCATCCCCGTCTCCCCAACCCCGCTTTTCTGGATTATTCTTCCCTCAGGGACATGAACCCAGTGCCCCCTATGAAGGAAATTTCTCATCATTTCATGCTTCACCCCACCTACCTTGTCCCATGTTAGATTGGTGTCTTAATGTGCTGACATTGCACACTGCACTTATCAACCAGTATAAAATGTGGGGTAACTGACTGCCTGAGCTTAGGCTAACCGTAGGCCCAATGTTGTGACTGTTGTTATTGCTAAGTGCTGTTGAGGTGGATCACAGTATCTTATTACAAAACAAAACATTGGTCCTGCACCGTCCTTAACAACTGTTGCTATGCCAGAGACCATTGTGCTACTCCATTTCATTGAATATCTTCCTTTTTTTAGCTGACCCTTGACTTTACAAAGCATGGTTTCTTTCTCCAAGTATGTGCCCCCAATGTTGGTTGAGCAAATGAGGGCCTGATGGCAGAAGTCAATGAATCACTGACTGACCTTATGTCAAGACCTTTTCTTGTATTGTAGACAGGTCTGCAGGGATCCAGCTACAGGTTACATCTTGTTCCCTTGGCTTCAAAGCACAGTTTGGAAGATGCCTGGAGGCAGGTGAGAATCTACACAATAGAGAAAAATCAGCTGTTATCGCAGAAGTTGTTGCTATACTCCTAGAAAGATCATAGCCACCAAAACTCTACTGGGCAGTTCTGTTCTGACATGGGATCACTATGAGTTAAAATGCACTCAATGGCACATAAAACCAACAATAATCATGGAAGCAAAAACTCATTGAGTGCTGTCAATTGAGGTGATAAGTATAAATAGTGTTATGGGTTGAACTGTGTGCTACCCAAATGAGTTTCTGGTCCACATATCTGGAGAAAGAAGCCCTGGTGGCATAGTGTGTAATGAATATATCAGTCTGCTAACAAGAGGCAGAGCAGAACAGAGCAGGGAGATACTGGATGGTTAAAAATCAAGAAAGGGGTCTGTCAGGGATGTATTTTGTCTTCATACCTTTTCAATCTGTATGCAGAACACATCATCCGACACGCTGGGCTGTACGAGGAGGAATGTGGCATCAGGATTGGTGGAAGAATCGTCAACAACCTGCGTTATGCAGATGACACAACCCTGCTCGCTGAAACTGAGGAGAACCTGAAGCTCTTGCTGCAGAAGGTCAAGGACTGCAGCCTTCAATATGGATTGAGGCTCAATACCAAGAAAACAAAGATTCTCACCACTGGGCCAATTGGCAGCATCAGTATGGATGGTCAAGAGATCGAGATAGTTAACAGTTTTCGTTTACTTGGTTCCACAGTCAACACTCTTGGTAACAGCAGCCAGGAAATCAGGAGACAAATTGCACTGGGAAAGTCAGCTGAAAGGGAACTCTCAAGAGTACAGAAGATCAATGACGTCAGGCTGGAGACTAAGGTGGGCTTGATCCAGGGTATAGTCTTTACAATTACGTGCTATGCATCAGAGAGTTGGACAGTGAATAGGGATGATAGAAAGAGAATTGATGCCTTTGAGTTGTGATGCTGGAGAAGAGTGGTGAATATACCATGGACTGCTAGGAGAACAAACAGGTTTGTCCTGGATAGGGTGAAGCCAGAATGTTCCCTGGAGTCAAGGATTCTGAAGCTTCGTCTGACATACTCTGGGCATGTTGCAAGGAGGGACTGGTCCTTGAAGAGGGACATCATGCTTGGAAAAGTGGAGGGGCGGCGCAGGAGAGGAAGATCCTCGATGATATGGATCAATTCTGTGACTGGAGTGGTGGGAATGAGTGTGTTTGAGACAGCGAGGTTGGCACAGGATAGAATGGTGGTTAGGGCTCTTGTACATAGGGTCTCTATGAGTCTCAAAGGACTTGATGGAACATAACAACAACAACCAAAAGGTCAGCAGTTCTAATCCACCAGCTGCTCATTGGAAGTAAGACAAGCAGTCTTTGCCTGAAAAGACATACAGTCTCAGAAACCCAGTGGAGAGTCACCATGAGTTGAAACTGATTGAACAGCAGTGGATTTTTGGTTTGGGTACCTGTGGATATGATCCTTTTTTGAAACGGAATTTTCTTTATTATATTCACACCCAAGTGGGACAGGTTTTAAGTCAAATTATTTCTGAGTTATAGAAAAGACATAGAGGTAGTTGGTGGAGAAGACATATACCATATAAGGATCATCTACAAACCAAAGAGAAGAAAAGGGTACTGGCATGGAAGTAATATTTTTGCAATAAAACACATGTGATGAGATCTTTCCCTGTATTGTAGATATATCTGCAGAGATCCAACTACACTGCCACATCTGGTTCCCTTGACATAAAAAACATCTTAAGGAAGATGGCAGCAGAGACATCACTTGGATTTGTAACCTTCAGAACAGTGACCGTCAATTTCTGTTCTTTCAAGCCCTTCACTTGTGGTATATGTTGCAAAACCCTCGGTAAGCAGGATGGATGTGTGCCATTTACTCTACAGATAAATATCACATGGTCACAGTATGTCATAGTTATCTAGTGTTGCTATAGCAGAGATAACAAAAAGGGGTGGTTTTAACAGACAGAAATTTATTATCTCACAGCTTCCAGGAGACTGGAGGTCCAAATGAAGAGTGCCGACATTAGAGAAAGGCCCTCTTCTCTGTGGGTTCTGGAGGAAGGGTCTTGTTTTCATCAGCATCTGTTGGTCCTGCAGCTTTGGAGCTGTGTGTCGTGGACCTCCCCGTGTGAAGAAGCTGCCCAGCACAGGGACCTGGGTCCAAAAGGGCATGCTCTGCTGCTGACTGTTCTGCTTATGAGATACTGAGGTTTCTTCCTCTGCTCACTTCTTTCTGCTTTTACCTCTTGTAAGGCTAAAGGTGATGTAGGCCAAGCCCTAGAGAAATGCTTATTCCAACAGATCAAGGCTCTGACCTCATTAAAGGTGCTCCATCCACCCGAATCCTCTTAGAATTAATTGGCTGATCCTGTCTCAGAGCACAGGGGAATGACCATACCATTATATACTTGCCTCTCCTCCTATATCATTAATATCACAGACATCAAGATTCACACTGTTGTTGTTAGATGCCATTGAGTTGAGTATGACACATAGTGACCCTATGAACAAAATATCTAAACCCTGTTCTATCCTGCACCATTTTCACACTTCCTGACAGAGAGCCCATTGCAGTAGTCACCATGTCGATCCATGTGATTGAGGGTCTTCCTCTCCTTTACTGACCTTCCACATTTCCCAGCATCATGTCCTTCTTGAAGGAATAGCCCCTCCTAGCAACTTGCCCAAAGCATAATCCTTGGTATAATGTAATTTATCTGACATAAGCTGTGCAACCAAGCCAAAGGTGGGTAATTGTCATCTGTGGCCCAAGGCCAGGTTCAAATTGCCTTCCTGTCAAACATTCTTCTAGGTGGTATAGCACTGGTCTGTGCGTTGCTGTACAGAGGTAACTCGTGGTTGCTGTGATGCTGAAGCCTGTGACAGTGATGTGCCAATCGTGGTAATGGGCACCCATGGTGGACAGTGTTGGCTGGAGCTTCCCAACTAAATCAAGCCTGGAAGCAGGAGCGGCATCCACTTCCAAAATGGCTTGCCTCTGGAAACTCTATGTACGAACAGTGCTCAGGCTGTTCGTTCATAGGGTCGCTATGAGTCGTCTATGACTCAATGGCATTAAACAACAACAACAATGTAAATCCCACACTACATATGTGTAGTAGGATTTACACTATGAATTATGTTATACTGAGGATTATGGCCTAGCCAAGTTGACACACACTTCATTATGCTGTATTAGAAATGATGAAATAAAACCAGGTCACCACATCTCTTGCCAGTTCTTTCAATCATCTTCCCCAGGCAGTGGAGCAGATGGAAAGATGGAGACTGTTTGGTGTGAGATTTGGATCAATATACCTCATGGTCAAAGTAAGCAGATCTTTCTGGTGACTACAGTTTCCTGGGACTGTCTAATGATCCAGAGAGCCCCAATATTAGGATGTTAACCACACGATTGGAAGCTCAAATCCACCAGTCACTCTGAGGGAGAAAGGTGGGAAAGTTCCATTTTATGAAGACATACAGTCTCAGAAATCTGATGGAAGTTAACCATGAGTCAGAATCTAGTGGTGGGAGTGGGTTTTGGTTTGATGTTTCACGGCATAGTTTGTAACCACATCTGGGCTTTCATTGCCAGACCTATCTGGAGCTTTCTGGAGGATGTGGTGGATTGAATTGTGTCAACCTGGCTAGACCTTCATTTTCCATAATTATCTCACATTCTGTGACCTGATGTAACTATCCTCTGTATTCTAAGTCCTCACTGGTATGATATTAACTACAGACAGTTAAGCTAACAAG